TAGTTGCTGAGGTTTCATTGTCTTTGTTAGGTGTTCTTATAGTGCTTTTACAGTTAAGTAAGCACATTTAGCGATAGAAAGAGCACTCAGATGTCGTTTTCTTCAACTGGACCAGGGGCTTTCTTCTGGTCTGTTTCTCTTCCGCAACAAAAGATACCAGTGGATTGGTTTCGGCGCAACGGTATCCCTGCAGTTCCTGTGGCCCGTGTCCCAAGCAATGATGGCTTCGTTCGGATGAAGAATTCGAAAGTGGTCCAGGCGGAGCTTAGAGCTGCTACGTCTCACTTCCACAACATCACAGAGGTCCACCAGTTCTGCAGAGGCAGTATTTTGTGCTTTTCATCAAATCAGCTCTGTGTCCAAGACCTACTAAAGTGCTCGTTGTTCGCGAGCAATCCGGTGAGCACCTTTATTCCCCCGTATCTGGCATGTGCGAAAGGTATTGCTAACGACGTCAATGTCAACTTGACCCCATCTGACGTATTAGATATGTTTGCCGTGACTGGTGTAATCTCCGTTTATAGGTATGCACGAATTGTAGAGAAGTAGAAGATCCCGACTGAGTGGGTAATTGTAAACTTTGCTGGAGTGAATCTCCCAAACGAAATCAAGTAGCATTATAAGAGACATGGCTATCTGCACATAATTTGTTTCAGTTAAATAAATTTCGGTCTTTTCGACTAGACCGTCCATCGATAGGTGGGGGTCTAGCTTTCTTTATTAATAATAGAATTAGTATGAAAGTTAAATGTTCATACAAACATACGTCGCCAGAGTGCGAAATTTTGGCAGTAGACATTACATTACCAAACTGCAGTCCTTTCACCCTAGTTAATATATATTTTCCAGATGGAGTTCAAGACACACGAAGTTTGGATCTAGCTACAAGGTCGTGGTGCAAGGATCAAGTTTTAGTAAGTGGTCACTGTTGGTGCCACAGTCCAGCGCTTTCCAAGAAGAAGTAGTAATAGCCGAACTGACGAAACTTAAATCTGAGACTGACTTCGAGTGATTACAAATAAATGGGGGGGGGGGGGGCATCAAATTAGGTGATAAGGGCCCAGTGATTGGAAAATAAAAAAAATGGCTTCTTTTTTCCTGCCAATCAATAGTGTACACGAAATGGAAACCAACGTCTTACTTTTAAGCCTAATACTCACTGAAACAGCTTCGGTACGTCGTCCCGAAAATGGCGCTTACCCGCCTCCACTTACGCGCCTCGGCTTCATGGAAGACCTCGGTTGCGCCTCTTCTTCTTTGTGGCTGCTGCCTCCGCAAACGTGCCGCAATATTGATGTCAATTGCAGTGGGGATCATTGAAGAACTATGCCCCCAATAATGAGTAGTAATGGTTACGTTTCCGAGATACTAGGCGAAATGTTGTGCGGTGGTGTCAATTGACACCGCCAGGTCCGAAAGGGTTAATGCTTTCATGAGCACAATTTCAACAGAACAAGAAGTTACTGTCTACATTTATGCTGATGACATCACATTCTTTGCTGCTGGCTGTGGTATTTACTCACTACAACTTAAATTACAAAGATATATTAATATGTTAGAAATTTGCTTGCAGTCGATTTCATTATCGTCAAATGTCAACAAAAGTGCGCTCTTGGTGTTTCCGTTTGCAGACTCAATTTCAATTTCAGTTCTATATAAACAGGAAGCCATTCAGCAAGTAGACTCTACAAAATATTTGGAAATCATTTAAATGAAAAACTTAACTGGAGTCCACACGTAGAGTATATAACTACCAATGCCCAACGGGCCTCCGGCTTATTGCTCAAGCGGTGTAACCGTAAATATGAGTTACAGAGGCAGACTTTGATAATGTTGTACAAGTTGCACATGTGCCCCATCGTGGAATTCGGATGCATATTATTCTCGAGTGGCCTTGTTTATAAGACGAAACCTCTAGTTGTCTTGGAGCGAGAAGCACTGCGAATGTGTCTGGGACTCCCCAGGATTGTGGCTATCAATGTACTGTACCAGGAAGTGGGACTGCCCACTCTACTTTGTCAATTTCGCATTTTGAAAGTACAAGCATTTTAAAAATTTTATATCTTACCGGCAAGAAGATCTCAATATGCTTTTATCTCAAACTCAGACGCCTTCTTTCTTGCTCATTGGCCACGGTTTCACTCACCCCAGATAATGTTTGTACAAAAGAAACTACAAAGTATAAATGTGAACATTAGAAGTGTAATTGAGGCTAATGACTCGAATTGTAATGTTATAATTGAATATGATGATATTTTCCCCCAAAACGCCGAGTTACATTCTTTCAAATTAAAAAAAAAACATATTATTACATTACTTGAACCATGCAGAAACCAAAAATACAATAGCCACAGATGCTTCAGTAAATAATCAAAAGGCAGGTGTAGGCATTGCCCCTGATTCGCTTGACTGGTCCTTTTCAGTGAGACTGCCTGATTTTACTCCAGTTTTTGAAGCTGAGCTCGTGGCGATTATTTTAGCTCTTCGAAAACTTCCGTCAAATCAAAATAACACAGTCATAATGAAGGATTCCCTTTCAGTTAGTACAACTCTCACAGCTTCTTAGAACTCTCGAATTCTAAGGACATTCATAACATTAGTGCTACCACTGTTGAGACTCCTGAGGTTACTCTGGGTTCCAGGACACTGTGGATTAAGATTAAATGAACTGGCCGATTCCTTAGCACGAGCCGCGCTTCATGACCCAATCTTATTCGTACTGCCAGAAGTTGAATATATTACAATAATAAAATATCGAAAATCAGCAATCTGCCCTCATATGATAGAAAAAGTAACTACATGGACACAATATAACCACCTCAAGTTTTCTTGGCGCCCCCACTAGAGTCAGTCCAGAAAGCTCGAAGTTTTAATTACTAAATTTCGATGTCGTGTCCTCGCTCCTAAACCTGTATCCACACAGAGCTGGTCAGACGATATCACCCCTCTGTGCATTCTGATGAGAAATGGAATCAATTGAACATTATTTTTTGTATTGTCGCCGATATGCTATACTTAGAAAAAGACTCATAGTTATTCCATTTCTGAAAATATGCGTTACATTGACGGCGGAAACTGCACTATAAACTTTGGTGCCTCAGTTTTGGGACATTGCCACAGGGATGTTGTCAATGCCATTTGCGATTACATGCAGGCATCCAAACGTATCCCATTGTGATCTTTAATCGAATAATTATTATTTGGTAACCTAGAAATTCTAAATGGTGAGGTGAAGTAAACGCAGCTGTGTGGTAAACACAACACCTGAAATATCAAAATTTCTCAAATTGACTTTTCCATTTTTTTGTTCACTCTTTTTTTATGTGGTTTTCCTTACATTAGTCATATTATAATACAAATTCATTTTTACACTTAGGTATATTTTTCACAGAAAAAGAGCACTACACTTTCTTGGCCACTCCCCCGGAGTGGGTGGGAGCCATGAGTCTAGGGAAACAAACAAACAAACAAACAAACAAACAAACAAACAAACAAACAAACAAACAAACAAACAAACAAACAAACAAACAAACAAACAAACAAACAAACAAACAAACAAACAAACAAACAAACAAACAAACAAACAAGGACGAGATGGCAGCGACAGTTCCTGTTCGCACTTGAGAAAACGGCTTCTAAAGTATGTAATTTGTGAACTCCCAGATCGACGTCTGTCTGCCTGTTTCCACAAATTGTATAATTTGTGGAAATAGGCAGACAGTATATAATTTGTGGAAACAGGGGGGCATGGAGTTGGGAGTCCACAAATGATATATCTTAGAAGCCACTTTCTTAGACGCAAACCGGAACAGGCGTAGCCATCTCGAGCTGGGCGTGTGGTCGTCGTCGTCTTCTGTTTGGATTTTTACTGCACGTAATAGTGTGCTACACACCAAATGCCATAGGCAAAATAATCGTGGACAAAATACGGGCCACGCCTTTATTTTGCCCCCGATAAGTTTTTGCAAACACTACTCCGGACTTGACTCTTCACCAATGGCCCTCATTGTGAAGCTATGCGCGCGCACACACACAAAATGTTTTTTACCCGTAAGCGGTTCTCCTTAACGTGAAAAACTCCGCTACAAACTCGGGGTGTGCGTTTGTGTATGCATGTGATTTTGTTATTTTGAGCCTCAATTTTCAGGATCAGAAACAAAAAAAATACATGGAAGTGTGAATGTTTTTTTTTGCTCGATCCAACCGATCATCATCATATATGCACGTAAGAAATGTACAATATACATACCTGCGTGCATCCTTCTCTTCAATGATATATTGTACCAAGCCCATCGATGAGCATATATATATATATATATATATATATATATATATATATATATATATATATATATATATATATATATATATATATATATATATATATATATATATATATATATATATATATATTGCATATATAGGCGGGGTTGCAGGGCAAGACAACAGGACCACGAAGGACAGGATATTCTGCCCCCAAGTGGCAGTCAGTGCGCAAGGCTGTGAAGAGCGATAGATGAAGCTGGTGCGTATTGCGCTGCAAGAAGATCTTTAGCCACACCGTCTGGGGAAAAATCAGACGTTACAGCTATGTCGAAAACGTGATGTCAGCGCTTAACTAGTGACACAAGAGATATACTTCCTTTAAAGAAGAGAGCAAACAATTAGAAGCAGGTTTCTGTTTCATACACTATGTCACGCCACTGATCCAGGCGAACCGTAACGCACGACCAGAGAAAAACAAAAGAAATGAATATGAGAAGGGTCCTGTACGCGAAGTACAAATGTTTCCAAAGCTCACAGCCGTTGTGAGGTCCATTGTTTCCCACGGACACTGATATCTAAGTACCGAGGCTGGTCGCAAAACGGCCTGCGCTCTATGAATCGGCGGCCGAGCGCTCGTTAGCCGAGCGCGGGAAACATTGCGCGCGCTGTGGCTGTTTGCGTGGTAGCCGCCAGGGGACGCCACAGCCGGTGGCGTCACCCGAGCGTTCCATAAAAATTGCCCTCTCCTCGAAACCCACCGTACGGGAACGAAGACCTCGTCCGGCGGGCGCGGGAGGGCGGCTCACTTTTAAATTCGTCGTGTAACCTGGATCGCGGGCCTCGCTGCTGTCAGCCGCGCCGCTGTCTCCGCCGGAGCACGCCGTGGGTATCAGACACCGCCATGTGGAACTACGTCTTCCTCTGTCTTCTCTTCCTCATCAAAATCATCGGAGGCCTGGATCGAGAGGAGTATGAATTCGGCGTCGGCATCGCAGACATCACCGGTCCGGCGGCTGAAATCGGAATGGTAAGCGCGTGACGACGTTTCCTCAAGGTGTAGTATTTCTCGACCGCACGTACGCGCCGACTGAACCACGTGCACAACCCAACGTTCCACTCGTTGTGTTTACTGTGGTACGCATACCTTCTCCTTGCGCGGCCTCGTCTTACCTGTACTTCGAGATTTCCTGGAAGAGTTCCGTTACGCACTCTGCTCGGAGAGCGCTCAGCTGGCAGGCGTCTTGTGGCGTTGATGTGAGGACGCTGTTTTGTCCGCTTTCTGTGCGTCTCCTGCGTGACCTCATCATTTCGCGACAGCGTAAGTGAGCGCCCGGCCTGCAGCCTGCTTGTAGGCCGCTTCCTCCCTTACGCTGTCGCAAGAGCCAGTGGTCCCTTCGCAACGTGTAACGATGCAACATCAACGGTGTCTGTACGGCACAGGCGTAGTGGGGGCGTTCGAACCCCTCCCCCCAAAAAGCGACATTGCCATTTTGTTTGCGTACGTGCCACATAAAATCACAAACATGTGAATGGTGGGAAGGACAGCTTCCGAAATAAAAATCCTAACTGCGCCTCTGGTGCATGGCTGAGGGCCTGTCTTTCAGAGAACCTTTGACGAGCGGACTCATTAGCTCAGTTATCGGAATTAATTTATTGTAGAGTAGCAAATGCACTGAGGTCTCATGATGTTATAGTACTGGAGTACACAACAGTGGGCTACCAGCTCGTTTTTGGGCATTCACACAATCAGGTACTCAGGAAAACACGCATCAGACTGCGATGAAACAAGCAGTGCTGCATTGGACAATTTCCTCGAAGTTCCTATGCGAAGCTTCACACTGCTTGCATGCGTCAAGTTCTATCGGCGAGGTCGCCAAACATTTTGTGTGCCTGCTGTGACAGGCGCCCCAGATTTGCTGTGTGCCTTCCTATATACATCCTCACATCCAGGACAAGTTTGTATACGACAGAGAACCTTCTGGCGAGTAGTCTTGCACATCATTAGCGTGTGGCCTTTCGATCTCGTTACTAGGGATTCACACTCACGAATGGCGATGGCACGTGCTTTCCGTCGACTTGCCCCTGTTCTTATTTATGCACAAAAGTGATCGGAGATTGTGAACGCGGCAGTTGCGTGGATTATTCCGGCACGTGTCGCCCGCTGACTGAACGCTATCGGTTCCAGCATCTTTCGGCGCCTACAGCAGCCTCTTCTAACCGGCTGGCTTTCGACGAAAGAGGAAATGTCTCGTGTTGTATATTTTGAATGGTACAGAGAAGGTTTATTCAAACGCACTTTCCTTCGCGCCCTAATCTCTGGCAGGAGAGGAAATGGAGCATACGAACAGGCGCCTAATTCGACGTAGGGCCGGAGAAAGGAGTAATGTGGTGCTGGGCCGTAATCACACGCGGCCAAAGTGACGCTCTCAGTTTTGTCGGGCGCAAGGAAGAGGCCGCGCATAATCCGATCCGTCTGGTCGGCGAGGACTGTGCGTATGGGCGAGGCGTAAGCAGGAAAAAAATGCTCGGCCGGCGCTGCAGTTTCATAAACTGAGGACCCCAACGAAGGGTGCCTATTTTGGGGGGATGCCTAATTCATGTTTGCTCCTTTAGAAATGATTGCCTTTGTTTGCATGCTCTACAGTGGCGCCCTTCCTGGAAGGAAGTGCTTCCTATGGCGGCCCGTTACAGGGATCGCGAACGGCCGCGTGATAAAAGACCCCGCTCCTCTGCTGGGCCAGCCGGCAGCGAGGGCACGACGCGGAAAGAAAGCGAACGCCGGAGATGCGAGCAGGGTTCGGGGCGGAGCATCCTTTTTTCGTCTCGGTTTCTGTTCACGATTTCTTTCTAGCTTCTTCGAAGATCAAAAGAGAGGCAGCGGAGGCAAACCGAGGTCACGCACGCTACAAACGTTGCCAGTTGCACAATTTTTCGCTTTACTTGGCATGTACGAATATGTTCTGAATTAGTACGCAATTTAACCCTCGTTGAGATAGCTCGAACGGGTAGATATGATACACTCGCACTTCTTCTATCAGACAGAGGACTTAAGACGTTACGTGGTGTGTATACATGAGAAGAAGAACCAAAAAGTCATCTTGAGAAGGAATGGCCAGCAGTCATCCTGTTTTCGCAACGACGACTGTCAGAGGAATTGCCGTTAACGGCCTCATCCCCTACGCATCGAAAGGATTGCAAAATATGCAAAATTTTGAAGAACGAACTCAATAATATGTGGGGGGGCTTATGTTCTAAAACCGCGATGTGATAACAAGGAACGCATTAGTAGAGGGCTCCGGAAATTTCGACCACCTGGGGTTTTTTGCCGTGCCCTGACATCGTACAGTACACAGGCTTCTACCATTTCTCCTTTATACAAATGTGACCGCCACTGCCGTAATCGAACCCGCAACCTTCGGTTCAGCAGCTGAGCATCGTAGCTACGGATCCTCCGAAGCGGACCACGAATTCAATAGCGTTTTAGGCTATTCGATACTCGTATGGAGCACTCCTTTTATCATATATCGAATATTTTTCGAATAACCAGCACCGATGGGAAAGTTCAAAGGAACGACTCGTTGGAAGAGTGGAGGATCGTATTTCTTGTTTTAATTAGTGAATTGCGAAAATTCACGCAGTTCAAGGACCTCTGGCTTGAAGGTCGCGGGATCAAATGTTGGCCATGTACTTTGATTTAAATAATAATAATAATAATAATAATAATAATAATAATAATAATAATAATAATAATAATAATAATAATAATAATAATAATAATAATAATAATAATAATAATAATTGGGGTTTTGCGCCCCGAAATTACGATATAATTATGAGAGACGCCATATAGGAGGGTTCCGGAAGTTTGGACCTCCTAGTCTTCATTAACATGCACTGACATTACACCGTGCACGGGGTGTCTCTACTATTTCGGCTTCATCGAAAGGCAATCGCCCCGGCCTTGATCGAACCCGTGACCTTTCGGTAAGCAGCCGAGCACCGTAGCCACGGATCCACCGTGGCAGACGACGTGCACGTTAAAGAAACCACTTGCTCAAATTTTTTGGAACACTCCAATAAAGAATGTTCATGAATGTTCATTCATGAAATGTTTGACGTTTATGTTTTAGTGTTATTTAAAATCCGTTGACGAAGTACTACCTCAAATACAAAAGTAACTAAAGTTCCCGGCTTTAGTCGCTACTGTATACGATCGTACCTCAGTTTACATAATCGTGGCATCCTTTTTGGGTTAATTGCACTGGTAATGTTACTGTGCTAACGTTTATGAATAATTGCTTTAAATGAAATGTTGTAGAGTAGAGAAGTACTAAGCGACAATTGAACAGAGCAACTACTTTTGGTATCTTAAGATCCCGAAACAAAAGTCTAGGCCCGTCTTAAAAATAGTTGCCTAATTATTCGAAAACTATTAGAATATTAGTCGATTTGGTATGATCGCTGTTTGATTCGTATTTCACCATGCACACATGCCTTGATGGAAATTAAAGACAAGAAAAATGCTAAAGCCACTAGCAGTGCTGTGATCGGTAGCCTGCAGGAAGAGATCATTGTAGAGCCATCTGCATTAAAGAGCCGCACCAAAGTGGTGCGGAGATAGAATGCCCGCTTCCCTCTCATAAGACCAGGGTTGTATTTGCTGTTATAGATGGTGCTTGGTTTTTGTATAGTGCAATTTGCTACAGTTGTTTCCTTCTTTCGTTTCTTAAGATTTGCCTCGTTCGCTACGCACTGCCCTAAAGTCACGCGAAATGTCAAAGAAAATGAAACAAATTTGCGAGTGAACGTAAATACCTGTAGCACCACTTTGCGGGATACAGCAAAAAACACAAAGAGAAGTGTGGCCCCCGGGATGCAGCTGCAATTTTCTTTTTAGGCGAAATTTGACAAGTCATGCTTAGTAAGTCCTAGCGTATACGGGCATTGTGCAAAGTGCACACTATTGGAGTCAATTTCCTGTAAACAGGACCATGTTTCACCTTCCCTCTACTTTGAAGAACAATCCAGTTTGACTCCCAAGCGTGATGGTGCTTGGAGAAAGACTTCTTGGACTTCGTATTATGCACGAGCGTGCGTTCGAGTCTCGTATTCACAAAAAAATCTCGGAGGCCATACTCCTCTGTGCTTTTGTTGAATCCCGCGTGATGGTCCTACAAAGATTTACGTTCGTGGTCTAATTTACTTCATCTTCCGTGACATTTCACGTTAGTATTTGTGGGAGCGCGTTGCAATCAAACCAAGTTTTGTGAAAAAAAATTAATAAAAATGTAACAAGTTATACAAAAAAAGGGGGTATCTACAGCTGCAGTCTTCCGAGTGGCAACAACCCATCCTACTTCTGCACCACTCCGGTGAAGCGTCGCTCAGCCCCTAAGTCACCACATATTGCAGCCTACCGATCGTAGTGCTACTATATAGCGACTTGGCTTCGCTTTTCGAAGCTAGTTCCGAGCACCTATACTGGATATAGTACATTCTATAGTTAGGGTGAACAAGAAAGATGCACCGTGTAATCACATTGCATGGAGAACGGCATCTCCGGTCGCTTCTGCGATGTGATATGCAGTGAAAAGTACGAAATGGCCTAGGCGCAATAAGCAACTCAACAGTAAATAGAGGTGGTCTTCCGTGCTCTATTGGTGCTAGCGTGCTAGGTATCGCGCCATTTTTTCCCTGTCTGCCGCATGCGACGACACGTATGCGTAGATTTTTTTTGTGCATGACTTTAATAAAAAAGCGTAACACACCGAGGAAGTGTGAACAACGAAGCAAAAAAACATCGCGAAAACACGTCAGTGAAAGAGACGGACGATGAGCTGACTTACAACCGAGGTTTTATTCCATACGAGGGAGTATGCATGGCACACGCAACATGAAAGGAAGGAGAGGATAACAGTGACGTGGAACGTTTTTTGATGAAATACTTTTATGCGCCTCAAAAAACTGTTATGAAGCATTCATTCACTTTACAAAAACGCAACTTCTCTGGTGAGAAGCGCTAACGAG